AAACGTTGTCATTTTAAATATGGTCGTACCTTTTAGGGTCTGAAATCAGCATCTCAGTTAATTTATGCGTACCTTTTAGGGTCATTTTCAAAACCGTCCGTCGAGCCCCCCTACCCACTTTTTAAGAGAGTCCTCCCCGGGCATTAATTAGGGTGTTTACCTCGAAGGGTGATTTGAGTTCGCTCGGTGCTCTAGAGAACAAATACTGCAGTACGAGACTATAAGGTAGACTTTCGCCTAGTGCCGGGTTATCTACGATATCCTGAGATGTCTGGAATAATAATGGCCTGGAATACGAATAAAATGATACCWCGTTAGATGAAARAAAAGACAAAGGAAAAAAAATCAAAATCAAAGGAGTGAGAGAGTCATAAATGAAACGAAATAGAATAGCTAATAAAGCGAGGGGAAAGAAATTAAGAGGAAAAAAGATATTTTATTCTCTCAGTGGATTGAGCCACTAGTAGCAAGTAGGAACCATAGAGATGGGGGGGGGGGGGGGGGGGGGGATCGCGATCATTTTATGTCACGCACACGTCACGCATCTGTCACGCAGAGCAAAAATTACCTGAAAGAACGTAGAAGTTTGTACGGTTTGCCCAAGTCAGACACTTTACGACAGAACGGTCCAACAGCGAATTCAATCTGAAAAGATGAAAACAACACAAAAGACTTACTTTATGAAAGACAAACATTTCTCTCATGATGCCGACAAAYTTTCGGCCAAGGATTACGTGACCGGCAGTTTTTGATTTTGACGATTTCTCAACTCAAAGGAATTGCAATCGAATCAAACGGTGCGCTCTTTATAGCCAGATGGCGATGGTTTGTGACCTGGCTAAAGACAAATTATAGCTTGGGTATTCCACAGGAAGCCCATAAGTAGAATTGCTGACAATGCCCTTGGCAATAAGACATAGTAATACCTGAGCCATATCAGCCGCTAGTTTGAGTTTCCCTCCTTCTCCAATGCCCCTCAAAAGGCTTGTGTGACGTACAAATAATTCCAAGACCCGACTGGCAACGGGTTCTAGTCTGATGGCAGGAAAGGAATAAATAATCACTAAAATACGGGATTTCTTTTATTTTCAAAGGACAGTAAACAATAGAAATCATTTATAATCAATTTTCCGCGATCAGAATTTTATATTCTAATCCTACCTAGCTTTCTAAATTTTTAAGCTTGTGGGAGCTGATCCATTCAGGATATTTAATTGTGCTAAAGTCAAGCAAAAGAGTGTTTTTTTTTTTTTTGCCTTTTCGGTTACATAAACACAATAAGTGATCGTCCGTCATCTTTTCACCGATTTCTCGGGCATGCGCAGTGTGTTTCTTCATCTTTGTTCTATTATAAGAATGTTAGTTCGACTAACCTGGTTATCAGTAGCTCGTGGCATTCAAACATCGACATGTGATTCTTCTGAACACTAAGAATAAAGTCCTGTGGAGAGACTCAAGAATTAGGCACTGTTTTTATGCCTTGTTCATTGGCCTTTTCAAAAAGCAAACTTAAAGAAAGACGAAGAAGAAAAACGAAAGAGATAAAGAAGACGAAAAAGAAAAAGAACAATAACGAACGAACGAATGAATCAACGAACAAGCAAACAAGGAAAGAAAGACAAAGGACAGACAAATAGACAAGTTGGCAGACAGACAGACAGAAATATTATAATGACAAATGAATGAATGATTATGATCACTAACTTTATTATTATTATTATTATATAACTTGCCTCGATATCTTCAATATATGCCGAACAAGGAGCATCCGGAACCCTGGAGCTGTATTTGGACAACGAAGTACTGAAAGAACAGAAAGAAATAAGATACAAAAATAAGGCAAGTTTTCTCGGAATCGCACAACGTTSAAAAGGGGAAAAAACATATATTTTTTTCATTTATGCTTTTCCCTAAATTCTCGTTCAAGCTTTTCATTTTATTCATAACGTATTCTCTGTTTCCTTCCGCAAAAAAAAAAAAGAAAAAAAAAAGAAAAAAAAAAAAGAAGATAAGCGTCCAGTGCTGTTTGTAGAAAATGGTGAGTTTGCAAGACCATGCGCCGGTAGTCGTGACAAAAATAGAATCCACTGAGTTTCTCTGGGGAACTGAAATGGTCATTTTGATTCTAACTAGTATAAAACCTTTATACTTTTATGCTTTATAGCCTATAAAACCTTTTTTTTTTTTTGAGTGCGAGGCTACTGGGGGTGAATCTGGCGCAAAAAAGGTCAGTCACCCGATATTCGACGATTTTATCGTTTTTGCCATTCAATATGGCTGCCGTCACGTGATCACGCAAAACTCGCCAAAACATAATGCGGTAATGCAGCAGACCTCTGGCAGCAGACGTTTGCGTAGTACCAACTTCGTGGTGTATAGGAATGTGGGCGTTAATCTTAAGACACCGCAATGTCTTAAATTAATAGATAGCTATGAATAGCTATGAATACTTGATCCTCTATGACAAAATATTAGATTTTTTCGAATGCTCGGCTCCCGATATCGATTTTCGGTGTCGTTGCTTTTATTYGCTAAATTATTATTCTCGCAAGGAAAATTCAACCCTTCGTCAAACTAGGAAATTTACTTTTTTTTATCAGAGAAGTAAACAATCCTTTTATTTCGAGCCAAAGACTAGTACTAAATTGCATAGGTTAGCTTCCCCTCTTAGAATAGCCCACCTCTGAGATATGCTTCGTTTGTCACGCACAAAGGTTTCAGTATGAGGCTACGTGCTAAATTAAATTTATTTTTACCGCCTGTCACRAATGACTGAGCATTTAGCACGTAGCCTCACACTGAAACCTTTGTGCGTGACAAGCGAAACATATCTCGGAAGTAGGCTATTGGCTTCTCTACTGATAAACATTCTTGGCCTTGTATAGACTGAGTGAGCTTTTCAGATCATTAGAACACTCTAGAATAAGAGCCAATCAGATCGCTTGTTCTTTATTGCTTWTAACGAATATTTTTCTGGGGTAGCTACTTCATGACTTAAAATTTGTTATCCTCCACGATCATTTCCGTAGAGATTATGATGTTAATCAATGAACTGAGCCATACATGAAGTATATGTCTGAAGAGCGTAGGTGGTATCCAAATACGCAAAGAAAAAAAAAGTTGTTTTCTTGGTCGTTTGGCTCGYGTGTTTTTATCGCGCCAAAGCTGTTGTGTAAGATTACAAAGCACGAAGATAAAGCTATAAGAGGTAAAATATTGAGTGTCGATTAGTTTTTTCCTAAAGCTTAATTTTAGCGATATCCTGACGACAGATTATTTAACGTTCTTGTGTCGGTAAGTGTGTTGCGCAGTTTTGACGCAGTTATTTAAAAAAATATTAYCATAAAATTTCAGTTGTCATAGATGTACGAATTAACAAACTAGGCACTTTCTGATCACACTGTCGAATTTTGAACGCATAGATACTACCTATATAGGACTATAGGCGATAGGTTATAGCGAGACGGAAAGGAATTATGGGCATGCAACTAAACACGTATAATTCAGACCTTTTAAAATGGTGTAGACGACTGCAAACAACACTGAATATCTCAACACTAACCTCCGTGTTCTTGAAGAGAATGAGAAGAAACACAAGTCATTCCATTTAATCTTTGAATGACCTATCGCTTATCTCCTATCTATTCTGGCTACGGCAATTTTTTGAAACAGGTATATACAGCCATATCATATATCATCGTTTAATTTTGTTAGACTGAATTACTCCATCCATAATATATTTCGCATTTTATCGTTTAATTTTTTTKTGTGCAGCTCTTTGTGAATCCGAGATCACTTATAAGATCATTTAGAATGTTTTAGTTAGAGTATTCTACAACGTAAACATCAACAACTACTTTGATTGAAAATAATTTCCAATTCAAATAAACTCTCTTATCCTTTTTTTAATGAAAAATATTATAGTTTGATATGCGGGTTTAGTCTTTAAATTTTCAAAGTCGGAGTTCAACGAAGGCTTGACTTTTTGGTACGTGTCTTGTCCGTTGGTTCCAACAGCGATTATTTTGACTAGAGACATTTGGATGACTTAAATTGAGCACAGAGATATAATKAACACACCAACTCAGTGTCATGAAATATTTAGCACAGGAAGACAGGAACTACTTTGACAGAAATAGTCGATCGATCAATCGCACCAGACAATGAGATCCAAGTGGGAAGGGTTATGGTTATTGTATCAAATGACTTTAACCTTTGTACTGTACCCTCTATGTTTTAACGTTTTATAAAACAATCAATTTTAATTGCCCTATTTCACTATGACGTCACATCAAAACAACCTATTGTTTAAACGCAAAGGATCATGGTCGCCGGAGGGGGTCAAATCAATGCAAATTCACCGAAACTTGTTCTAAAACCCGTATCAATCCGCGAAGAGAAGTAGAATAGCCAGCAAACGCTCAGAATATTTTTTAGTACATATTAATACATATTATATTTGAAAACCAGGCCATTTTAGATTTAACTGTTTCGCTAGGAGCARATTTTGTTGATTTTTCTATTGGATTTGGCGATTCTATCCCCCACATAAACAAGCAGTGACGTCATAGTAAAATAGGGCAATTTCAAATATGCTCTGCGTGTTCGTTGTCAGTTCTCTTTCAATTTCGGAAGAACCAACGCATATACATTTTATTGTACTCTGAAACAATCTTTAGGATCATCAAAGTCAGAGCTAGCTTACGTTCTCTCGAAAATTATACCGACTGGACGCAGGCTAAGTCAGGGCGCGAAAAAAAGAAATCAAAAGTAACCCATGGTAAGCTCGTGAAGCTTTTTGAGTACCAATGAACTAAGATGATAACAAATGACACTTGGTGACTCATTTCATTGAGGGTATTGTGACCCGAGTAAGGYGATAGTCGGAGTTATGTTTTGTCTAAACAAACTGTTGTCTTTATCAATTAAATTATTGGCTTCTGATTGGCTACAGTCCTTTCTTTTCCGATTTCTGGTTACGAAATTTTTCAACAATTTAGATTATCTGGACCGACTCTAATCGATCCAATATATGACAAACCAGTCTGTTTTCGGATTCTTCTTCCAGCTTAAACCTTCGAATAAGAAGAGAGAGACCTAACAAACTCTACTCATATGTGATACTGATTTCAGGAATCGAATCCGAACTCCAGACACGAGAGGCGAGTGTATTACCTCTACACCAACCTTGATTCCGAGACTGTCACTGTGAGAATTCACCACCTGCGTTATATCGGTTTACTGGTCAAACACAAAGTATTTCAGTCAACCGAGGATGGGAACCGAGGATTCAAGGTTTAAATTTTAAAACTATACCTTGCAGCCTCTAATGCTTTGAGGGCCACAGGTTTATTACCTTCGTAGGTATTTAAAACAACCCTAGGTAAATAAATAGTCTACCGTCTATTCATCTAGCTTGTGCGGTTTGACCAGTGAACCGATGTATGGAAGGTGGCGGAATGGCTTCTAGTTTTAACTGTCCGAAGTTCAAAAGCAAAAATAAAAATCATAAAGACGTTTCATTTTCCTACCATAGGTATAACATTTAGTTCATTATTACATTTTTTCCGTATATTTTTTTAAATATTACGTTCATTATACCTCGTAAAGTCCTCGGCATGTATTCGGTATATCAAGTTCTCCAGCTCGATCATTATTGCTTCAATCAGGGGGTCCAACGCTGTATTGATCAAAGACAACATTTCCTGTACAAATGAACACATTTACCATCAGCCATAATATTGGAAATAGAATGGTCACTTCTCACCCCCCTCCCCCCCCCCCACCCCAAAAACAACCTAACTTATTTCACTAAACATTGTAGAATCCATATTATTAGATTGTCGATCTTTTCTGTGCAAACTGCACAGCCAAAAAAACCTTGAATTATTGCCAGCAAGTTTATGCAATCTTTGGCGCGAAACTTTCAATGGTAAAACTGGTCGAAATAAGATACATAACCAATTTGTAAATAATCTTATTCATTTTCAATGAAATATGTCATTAATCAGCCAAAAATCTTTCTAAAAAAACCCAGCTTATGCTTATAAATATTTAAGGTTACGCAACTCCTTTTCCGCCAAAAAAATCTCCCTGGCAATTAAAGGCCAAGCTGAAATTTGTAATAAAAGAAATCTACTTCACTTCAGTTAAGCTTTGACATCGCGGGTCAAAATACACTTCATGTTCGAGACTTCAAGATATCCATAACAACTTAGACAGAATTTAGTGTTACGATAAAAGATTAACATCAAAATGTCCTTGTTGCTTTTTCTTGGATCACGACGCGCGTGCAAGCCAATGATATGGAAAACAAACAAGAGGAAATAGCGGGAAAACAATAAATAGTAAGTTTCGGTGAAAAAAAAAAACCGATCTAATTTTGTGTTTTTTTAAGAAACTACAACCACAAAAGCTATCGATAAGGAAATTACTGCTAAAACGACAAGTGAGAGCTCATATTGACTTATTAAACGCGGTAAGACTCAAATCAAATGCGATAAATATCACCGTATCGGCGACTCTTACGACAAAAAAGAACATTTGATTAGTACCTTTCATATGGCGATGCATGCTATTTGATGGAGGGGATAATGTCACACTCCCTTTAATTAATCATATCAAACAGCTTGGATGAAAGTCAACAGAAAAGACCAGGAAAAACGGCTTGGAGATGTTGGCTYGAATTAACGACTGACAACCAGAACCGCCAACTATTCATATAACAATAAATTATTATTTGTCTATCCAAAGCCCGTTCCCAAGTTATTTAGGTTGTTAGATTAAGGGATTATTTCAATATTCATAGAGGGGAAATTTGCAATTCAAAGTAGTTGTACTTCAGGTTTTTAGCACAATACAAATTGATCGACGACTGAAGACAAGTGTGGGTTTTTTCCCCATAGATGTTCAGTTTTTTACCACAAAATATAGACAACGAAAAAGACCTGGAATGAACTTTTTTGGAAAGATTAGAAACATAGCTGGTGAAGAGGCTAAGAGAGCTTATCGTTAAATTTTGAATTGAATCGCTGAAACAGTAAGCTGGGGTATAGTACTTGTTTTGATTTGTACGTCCGCAATGTAGTATTAAATATTATTTTGAATTTGTGAAGTAAGTGATGGTTTTATCAAAGCAGTGAGGTCGGATTTAACGAGTTGTCTGGAATATTTTCCTTATTGATTTTCCCTTTCTTTCTCGACAGGAACAACGAAGGAAGACGTTTTACTTGAAATACGCCAGGAAAAGATGTTTTTAGGAGCACCTAGGAGGGCAAGATCGGCGTCAACACAAAATGGACAACGAGGTAAAGCGCTAAAAAATAAAAACAAAACGTATAGCCTACTTGGCTTATAATAGACTTATGAAGTAGTAAAAAATAGCAAAACCAATACATACACCCTCGTGTTTATTAGCAGTCATGGTGTGACMACTATAAAAACACACTTTTGGAAATTAAAACCAAGTTATCTCTGTAGAATATAAAACAGGGGGAATTTCCAGTAAAACCCATTGAATAGAAGATATATTGAYGTCACAATGGGGTTTCAATCAAAAGACCTACAGACTTTCGTGATAAAAGGATTGAGGAAAACCATTAAAAATAGAAGCAAAAATCGAAAAAATGTAATACACTTCTTTTGTTTTTTATTCTTATTTTTAATTTTATCTCGTTTGCTTATTTTGTTTGCGTTTTGCATCTAAACATAAAATAATCAAAATTCTCCTATTCTTTCAAAAAAACAAAAAAAAACAAAAAAAAACAAAAAAAAACGACGGGACTTCGTTAGTCTTGTTATACAAAACAGTTTTTTTAAATAGAAAAAAAATTCTTTTAGGGTTAAATCAAATGTCTTGTACCTTTACTGTTATGAAAAACATTACAATTAGAGTTAAACAAAATTACTTTAAAGAAGCAATAGTTAGCATATTCATAGAAAAAGAAATCAATTAAACTTTGTTCACTATGTAATGAATTTTTTTAGTTGTAAATCAAAAGGTATTGAAGTCGGTTTATGAAAAAAAATTCAAGGAAGCTTATTCAGTGAATTTCAAAGGAAACGGCCTTTCAAAGCAGCCTAGATTTTATGTATACCATTCAGTTGAAGGTTTCACTTTAAAAATATGTTCCAGGACAGCTTATCCAGTGTAATTCAAAAGGAAACCCTTTCAATGCAGCCCAGAATCTTTTATATACAGAATATTTAAGATTCAAGAAGCCCTTTCAATGCACATATGGGTGAAATAATCCAATTCAAATAAGGCAATTTTCTATAAGCCATTTTGATTGAAAGAAGCTTCAATTCCTTTCATAGTGCGTATGTATTTTGTATTTCAAATAAGCTTTCKCAGTTCATGTGTCAAAGTCTTAGAAAAGGGACTCCAACGCAATTTAGGAAAGCCCATTTAGTGCTTAYAATTTTGGAAGAAGCAATTTTGATGTCGTTTATATTCAAGACTAGTAGTTATTTTTCAGTGAAAGTAAAATTTATGTACAAGGAATAAAACTGCTGTTAGTGATGCTGGAAAAACATCTGTTTGCAGTAATTAAATTTCATGGTCTTTTTTCCTCATTGGACACAAACTTTTATGTTAAAAGACTTTTAATAAGATCCTGATCAGAGGTTAAACTTTCGAAGGTGGGTGGGAAATTATACGACTACACGTTTCATCGGTAATTAAAATCAAGGTCATTTTGTATTTCTTKTTTGCTTGAAGAACTTCCCACGAAGTCAAGTCCAATATCAGAAACATTATGTCAAAAGAGCTTGTGTACTGTACGTCTAATCACTCGATTGCTAGTTTGCTGTCCGATTCAAGTAATTAATTTTCCAAAATTCATGACTAATATATTAATAACACGACTTTAATGAGTCCTATTGAAATCAAAACAAGCTTGAACAATCCTCGTTTTACACGGCTCTAATTCATTGACTAGGAATTTAAGGTTTTTATTTGCTTGTTTTTTGTTTTGTTTTTGTTTTTGTCTTTTGTTTTTGTTTTTTGTTTTTACTTTTTGATTGCGTTAAAGTTAAAGTCACTACTAATAGGTTTTCATTGGAAGCTGTAAATCATTTGGCAATCAACCTCAAAATCCAAAGAAAAATAATCTATGGCATGATTTAGGTGAAATTGCTTGGAAAAGCTCTTCATAATAGAGCATGYGCATGTTACGTCATTGCCGCCATCTTGGTTGACAAAAAAAAAGCATTCCTCATTAGCTTTTCTTGTTTGATCAACCAACATGGCGGTTGTTAATTGATTATTCATATCTCAAGAGATTTTGAGTCACATGGTTGCACACACTGTATGGGATAAGATGTGGATTTCAATGTTACCAAGTATATTAGGCCCTGTCCACACTATGCCGAATAAATTTGAATCCGAATTTTTATTTATTCCGTTAGGCCTACCGTCCACACTAGTCCGGGCGAATCCGGAACAATTCTTCACCGAAAACGAATTTTCGAAATGGAACCGAATAAATAAAAATTCGGATTCAAATTTATCCGGCATAGTGTGGACGGGGCCTTAATATATAAGATTTTTTAAAAAGATGTAAAGTTTGAAGGCAAAACATCCCTAAACGACTAGACCGAATCAGCTAGATCACAATTTTCAATTTCCATTTATCGAGCAATGATATTCCCATTCATTTGGGCCAAGAATGAACCCTTTTCAAAAGTACCGTGGTTGCAAGGCTAACGTGGAAATACAAAAGAAATCGCACTTTTTCTCGATGGAATTTGTGGAATTTCTTTAGTATTTTCAAGTTATTTTCGCATACAAGACAATTTTAAGAAGGGTSCATCCCATTCGCGATTCTCTTGCATCTACTTTTCTAGTATTTTTCGTCCTAATACAATTATTTATTCATAAATCACCAAAGAGGCAATCAATGCGTTGTCCATTGGCTTTAAGTTTTGGTAAAACATGCGAATGCAGACAACTTTTTTTCAGTTGCTTCCATCACGTCTATCGCAGTTGTATCTTAACTTCAAACTAGAGAAAGCCTATACTCTTCACTTTTTAAGCCCCGTTTACACTGGCGATTTGTGCAGCGATTTGTG